TTACACGAGTTGATGGGCGCTGGGTGGATAGCCTGGACTCGATATTGCATCCTTTTTTTCCATCGTCCCTTTTCCATTTCTCCGACTTCCAGCTGCACGTCGCCATGCGAAGGCCTGATGAACACCCGCTGTTGCCAGGCTTCTTCCCCATGCTCCTTACTCATTGGATGAGCAAAGGGAAGAAAACGGAAGCACAACGGACAAACGAGATGTAGGAGGTGCAAAACGGAATGGTGTGTGCCCTGTGGACACTGTAGCCTATGTGTGAGAACAACTGCATCATCTGAGGACTGCTGAATTGTGTCTCTGCAGGCAGTTGACGTTGTCGAAATACTGGCGGGTTCAACAAAGGAGGAGCAGAAGAAAGAAGTGGAATATGCTGAAGAATCGATACTCGGTAGGAGTAGGAGAAGAATGAAGGAAAGAAGGAATGAACGAGGGAGGGAGGGAAGGGATGAAAGGTGAGATGGTGTTTTTTGTTTTTTGGTGAGGCTGTGATGCTTGTGGGGTTCCTTGATGAAGTGGCGAGCCTTGCCGGACAGCTAACGAGTCGGACTGCTTATGATACTGTGGTATTTGTGCGTCTGTGCATGAGCAGGTAGATGAGCTGCGCAAGAAACTTGCTGTTAGGACACTGCAGCTGGAGATGGAGTTGATTTATGCGTGTTTGGAAGACGAGGCTGTGCAGATCTCTGGTGGGTGAACTCTATTCCTGTTTTTTCCCTCTTTTTTTTTTTTAATACAAAAAAGCAAGGCCCCTTCTATTCTGGGGGTAATCAGTCCGGTTGCTTTTCACTGTGAAGCCTGTTTTTACAGCCAATGAGGGAGACGAGACGAGAGAAGAGGATCAGCCCGTACCCTTGTGGCGCTAGGCGCCTAAGCAAGTGGGGCCTGCTACGGGACACCCCTCCCCCCAAGCCAGCATGCCTCAAAATTTGAAATCCTTGTTATGACTGTGAAATTGGGTGAATACCTTTTCTTCATTCATTTAAACCACCAGTACACCCGCGCCTGGAGGAGCCTTACTGCGCCCCAAGCTTTTTCGAACCGCCAGCGGCGCACTTTCTTTCTTTTTTGGCTGGTGCCACCAGCCATTGTGGTCCGGCAGGCCGAGCCTCCGAACTTTTCGTAGGCAACGAGTTGCATTTTAAGCAAGGCTGGGGCCGTGTACTGTCGGCTTAAACCACCACTCCATCCAGACCTACTTTGACAAACCAAAAGCCTAAAAGTAGTGCCACCATGAGGAAAAATAATTGTGGTACCCTTCCCCACCGAACCTCTGCCGAACCTGGGCACTGTAGATTTTGGCCCAGTACTACCAGACAACAAAAATATACAGTGCAGGGGCCATCGAGTGGCGGTTTAATCGTTGTCAATTGTCGTCCTTGAACGTAATCAACTCTGGAGCTGCGCATGCCCTCGGCTTCAGGCAGAGTGTTGCTCATTGCCAATACTGTCTGGCAGATAAACTACCGTCTTCACCCGAATAGAAAGCACAGTCATTATTGCAGTATCTAGACCGAAAGTTGTCCCAAATACAGCTATAATGACTGTGCGATGTGCGTTCTATCCCTACACGTATAAAAGTTGCTAATGTTAGAATTTTGGCATCCTGGCCATCCGCGGACCTACGGGCTCGATGGCCCGGATTGCCCCGCGATCTTAAGATTTTAAGATCGCGCCACGATCCAGGCCGTTCACGGTTCTTCCCCCCCGACGGCCCCGATTGCCCCCTGATTTCAAAACTTTAAGATCGCGGGGCGATCGGGGCCATCGGGTCGGTAGGACCGTGAACGGCCTGAATCGCCATGCAATGTTTGGACTACTGGTAGGGCCCCATATTTTTCTTTTGTAGAGGGGCCAGTTCACAGCCCAACGGAAGTTAGGGCTGCCAGGCCAGGGAAAAAACCGGTTCCATGCGCGTATCTGTGGCACGTGGTGTATAGGGTACTTGACACCACGCACTCACATGGACGGCCGCGTGCTCTCCCGCGCAAGCACATGCACAAACACACAAGCACAAACATACAAGCACAAGCACGCACGCGCACAAATGCATCGTGGGCAGACTGTGTGGGTTCAACCTCCTGATGAGCTGGTGAAAGTCCATCGAAACAGTCTGGCTCAGTCATGCCTTTTTGGGGGGGTTCATACAAACACACGAAGAGAGTGTGTGGTGTGTGTGTGTGTGTGTGCGTGAGAGAGAGAGAGAGAGAGAGAGAGAGAGAGAGAGAGAGAGAGAGAGAGAGAGAGAGAGAGAGAGGGATGAAAATGACTGTGAAGATTATGATGAAGATGAAAGAAAGGAGCACGATTTGCTAGGACAAGGTAATATGTTTATGGTGTCAGGAATCGGGAAATGGGGCAGAGACAGGCTATCGTGGTGTTTCGTTTTTCTTTCCTTACCGACTCTGATCGTGAAAGGGAGAAGAAGTGACATGACGATGGGACATGATGATGGGATTGAGTTCCGAAAGAGGACAAAAAGGTACTTGGGAGGGAGATGAGGATGTCGAGGACTCTGGGTCGGAATGCAATGGGGAGGGAGTGGAGGATGTGGGGGAATCAGGATGAGGGGAATGGCAGGTGGGTGTGGAAGCCATTGGGGGCGATCGGGGCGAAGGAGGACAAATACAGCCATTGTGGGGAAGCGGAGGATCATGGAAAAGGAGGATGTGTGCACAGTTAAGGAAAGGGAGTGGATAAACAGGGGGGGGGAGGGGGCACACACGAATTGGGAGGAGAGTGAAATGAAGACAGGCGCGCGCAAATTTGGGAAAAGGAGGGGAGAGAAGGGAAGCAGAAGGCACAGTAGGACAGTGGGGGGATCAAAGAATGTGTTGAGGGGAAGTCTGACAGTACGGGTGGATGGGGAGAAGGGTGCAATGGAGGGGAAGTAGGACGAGGAAGAGGAGGGAAGGGCGATGACGTGGAAGCGGAAGAGGAACACGAGGATGGCGAGGATCAAGCAGCCTATGCTGCTGTTACTTGCTAAGCATGCTGGACAAGGGGAAAAAAAGGGGGTGTAGCGGGAGGGCGCTGGGAAGCATCACGGATAAAGAACTGCATATTCAACATATAAGGCGTGAGAAGGCAAGAAATATATACATCAATGCGTGAAAATGGGGCAAAACAACGATAATATGTGGACAAACACAAGAAAGAGGGAATGAATAGCCGAGACGTTTCAATGGACTTTACCGCACGTTCCGTCGGCTGACTCGCACCTTGGACACCACTCAATTCTCTCTTGCATTGTGTAGTACACTTTGAATTTGATTTGCTGCGTCTTTACGGAGCTGAGTCCGGCTAGGCTTGAGAGGACCTCATACGAAGAACGAGGAGAAAGAGAAGGTTGGAGGATGAGTGCTGGGAGAACAAATGGAGGAAGAAGGACGAGGACAGCAGGAATGAGGGGGAGGAGGACAAGTATGAGGAGGAGGAGAAGGAACAGCAGGAAGAGAAAGCCAGGAGAAAGCCGAAAAGGAGGGAGGGTTGGGAGGGAGAAAGAGATGGAGCTGGAGGAGGAGGAAGGGGAGGAGGAGGAGGAGAAAGGGGAAGGACGAAAAGAGGAGAGGAAAGTATACAGGATGGAAAGGAGGGAGAAGAGGAAGCTAAGGGGAAAGTCGGGGGGAGCGAGGGGGATGTGAAAGGTGTGAAATGGCACCACATGACTGCGCCACGTGTCGGGAATTTTTCCAGTTTTTATCTTTTCCGTTATTTGTCTTTGTGTATGTGTGTGTGTGTGTGAGAGAGAAAGGGCGGGAAGGGGGGCCGGGGAAGAGGGGGAAACTAGGAGGGAAAGCTAAGGGGAAGCTAGAGGGAAGTGACCAGAAGGGGGCTGGGGGTTGAAGGCGTGAAATCGCGCCACGTGGTTAGGATATGTGGTGTGAAATCGCGCTTTCTTTTGTCTTTTTTTTGTGAGCGCGATTTCGTTTTTTCGTGGCTTTCTTTGTTTTTTTTTTTGGTTTTTTTTCTTTTATCATTGGGGACGTGAACCATATCGTTTGCATTGGGGACTTGAACCACGACAGCTTCTTGATGACATCATCAATAAGGCTAAGTTTGATCTGACTCCTGACACTGCGGAGTTTACCAGACGCTACAGAGTCGATGTGGAAAGGGCACGGGCGAACTTCTTCAAGGCTCAAAAGGCCATATGATTGAACAAGCTAATCGCCACCGACGTCCTTCCCCCATTCGTACTGGCGATTACTTCTGGGTAGCCAGTTCTGAGTTGTCAAGGGAAGAGGATATCTCTCCCAAGCTGTTGCCACGATACCTGGGTCCGTGGTAGGTGTTGGATACAGTGGGCTCCGATCCTTTTGGCCCGTCGTACGTTATCGACGTCCCACTGCATCTGGAGACCTATCCGGTCTTCCATGCATCTAAGCTGCTTCCTTTCATTTCAGCTGATGCATTCCCAGACCGGCCCCCTCAGTTTGGTCCACCAATCCCTGGCCAGGGATATGACGTGAAGTCCATTGAGGATGAGTGGGGCACTGGCCCCAACTGGCAGTATCGTGTGAAGTTTTGTTTCCAGCCTCATACTGAGGACAGGTGGTTCACCAGGAAAGAACTTCAAGACAGCAAAGTCTGTGGTTCTGTGTTACGAGGCGGCCCAGAAGGGTTCACTTCCTCGCCGGTCTCCTCGTCTACACCCCTAGCTCGGAGGTCCTCGCTCCCCGGGGGGGGTAAGCCTGCAATGACTTGCTGATTTTGATTGCCGAGATCTGACTGCGAGGCTGTACAGTAACAGCGGTAGGGTTAGATTCGTAATTTTGTTTGTGTCAAGGACTAACCGAGAGTTCAGTGCTGAGGGAAATCCGTGAGGGACATATCTGCAATTTCGGGAAAATTGCAGGCCTGCAGCTCCCTTAGACCGCACTGCGAATAGCAGGCCCGGGCTATCACTAGGATGGGAGGCCCTAGGGCCTAGGCCCGTAGCATGAGATCCTATAGCCGGGTAGGTAGAGGCGCTAGAGGCCCAAACTGAAACGGTACCGGTTGGTCCAGTCCGTGTCTAGGTTTAGGTTAGTCTATTCATAGATCTAGGTCGCTAGGGCTAGGACTTTTGGCTGTTTTTCATTTTCGCGTCACAGCATTCTGAGCCAAGCAAGTGCGGTGGAGACGATTGCCTACAGGCGGCATCTCGAGACCTTCGTCGTGGACGGCAGCCATAGCCAGCCTTCTGGAGCTCGCCATAGCTGGGGCGTCCTCTGAGCATCCACCGCTGGGGGTGCTTGCGATCAGCTGGGCTATTTTGAGGCTCTACATGGTATTCGTGGGTGGACCACTGTGGCGGCATCTTCCCCTGGGATCGTGCGTGGCTTCTACAGTGGCGATGCAGCCATAGCTGCAGCTTTCTTCGTCAGAGTTGCTCATCGGCACTGAGGGTTACATCGCAGCTCCTGTTCTGCATCTGGGTGGTTAGTGCAGGCCTCGGGGAGGCTGTTGTTGTGTGGCGTTACTAACTGGGTGTAGTCTAGGGAGTGGAGTGTGTGATTCTGTGAGTGGCGAGACACGGAGACAAGCTCTGTGATGATATTGGTTCAGATCGGCTCAATCTCAGATTGTTCCTTTGTTAACCTCACAGGTGTCTACTTGTGATTGGTTGTCGGGAGTATTGTCAGAGAGCGAGAAACACTTCGTGTTGTCTCCACACCTGTGCATAGTGCTTTTCTGCTGCTAACTCTGTCTGTGTGCCGCGTGTACTCTGTCTCCTCTCCCCTATGCATGTATGGGCGTGAGTGAGATTGTCTGCGTGTGAGTGTTGGTAAAAATCGACAGACAACCAAGTTCATAACAAGGGCCTCTGAACCTATTTATTCGATCCTGCCTTTTGGCTGAACCTGGAGCATTCTCCGAGGGGCCCAAAACCCACCAATCCACAATCCTGCCATGCTGCTGCACCGATGGACACTGCTCCGGGTATTTGAACTCATGCACCTAGACAGATCATCCTGAAGCTGATGCAGTGCACCTAAACAGCGGACACTGCTTTGTGACTGCTGCGCCTTTGGTCACAAAGCAGCCTGTCTTCTGCGATGACATGAGGCCAGCTCAACTGACACGTGCACACCATAACCTTTATCATGAATGTCTCAAAGGAATGTTCGCTGTGAGASTCTGCATCTTGAAAACTGAAAGTCGGTCCGCACATTCTGCTTCTGCTCGTTCGCCCCCCCCCCCCCCCCCCCCCCCCYCCCCCMCSCCCCACCTGCCTTTCCGTGGCCTGAAATGCTGATGCAGCCATGAAATACCCAATTTGCGAATGGCCATCCTTGCCTTTCTTGGCATGTCAGCAACCAGCATTCTATGTGCTGTGATTTTTTTCAGGCCTGTGTGGTGCAGACCAATCCTATTATCACCACCCTCATCATGCCAATCTGTACATGTCCCCGTTGTCATGCCGGCCCATCTCCATTTAATCCTTATGCTAAATTGCAAGCTCAACAGCAAACGCGACAGCATTCTCAGCAGCATGCACAACAGCACACTTGACAGCACATTCAACAGCCCACTCGACGGCAGCAGACTCGCCAGTGCACTCAGCAGCACACTCAACAACACACTCAACAGCACACTCAACAACACACTCGACAGCACACTCAACCGCACACTCAACCGCACACTCAACATCACACTCAACGGCACACTCGATAGCACACTCAACAACATACTCATAGTCAATACCATACTCAACTGAGAGCTGAACAGGAGCCGTGACAGTGACAACAGCTACATCAGCCGCTCACCCATGACATGGTGAGGAGATATCCCGCCCCAAAGGATACGTTGGCAGGACAGGGAATTTTTTGTCTCTGGACCTCCAATTGCTGCATACCGGAATGCAGACTACCTCAACAGCCCACATGCGCACTTGGAAAACTATACAGTCCCTGCCATTGTGTGACAAACTATATCGCCCCTTCCATTGTGTGGCAACTCTGGGCGTCTGGAGACGTTCGGCTGGAATGTCATCATTATGCCCTCGTGACTACTTTCGGCGGCTGCCTGTTCTGTACGATCCGTCCAATTATAGCGCGTAGTAGTAGATATGCGGTCTCTGTGCGACAGCGGTTGGTGTGCCTCTCTGTAGTTAGCATGTGGAAGCCATGGTGCTGGAGATCTCTGTTTGCAGCGCGCCATCCAAAACAGTGCTTGTTGCTGAAATTACTGCAAGGACTGCTTTTGTGGGCTAGAGCAGAACCATCCATGGCCTATTTGCTGATGTGGCTATTTGCCACAGACATGATGCCCGGCCCCTGATGTGACCTTTGCGTTCTGTTCTGCCAATCCACCGTGCTAGTATGTTTTGAGGGCATGATTGATGTCTTCACTCGTTGTTCCCCCTTGCTGTCCCCCCTCCTCCCTCACCTTTGGTTATGGTCCTTTCCTGACTACCCCCATTCTTCCCCGCTTACACTTTCCCCCATCCCCCTTGTCCCCCGGCTTGTGGTTGGACAGACAGATAGTGCGGTGAATGTTTGACAGCAGGTGAACACGTATACACCCGCACACGCGGTTGTGGGTTTTGCCATGTCATCCAATTGTATTTCCTGGGTCAGCTCTCTCTCTCTCTCTCTCTCTCTCTCTCTCTCTCTCTCTCTCCCCCCCAGACCCTTGCCTCCCCCAGGTCATTCTTTGAGTTGTTGGGGATTACTGGGAAAATGAATGGACCTGGTAAAGTTCATTCTTGTTTGTGTTATTCACATCATCACTGCCCAGGTGGGTATTCGTTTCATCTTTATGGATGCTGTTGTGGGTGCTTCCTCACTTTTCAGGGACAATAATTCATAGTCCTGAAAAGTGTGGACAGCCTGATGTGGTGGTTTGAGTGACCTGATGCGTATGTAAACTGTGCTGTGAACCAGGATTTGAGGACGGTGTGGTGCTCTCAAGTATGCATTGCTGGGATGGATTGCCTTACCTTGTGGACTGTTTCTGTATGATTGGTTCATGGTTATGGTCATCATTGACGTCGTCATTGTTGCCCTCACAAAGGTCACCTGAGAGTAATGGGGTACTTTCTGATTGGCATGAATCCTTTGGTCAAATGAGGGACAATTGTGACGACAACGATCTACATGTTGCCTTGGCATTTGGAACTATTCGATTATGCACACTATGAATTGATGTGAGGTGGGTGTTGGTCACACGGCCATGGAAGCATACGAGGTGGGTGCGTTGATCGCATGCGCAGGCATTAATTGACAAATGATACAAGAGTTGACCTTGTTGGCACGACAACGCCTGCAGAGTTTCAGACGGATGTGTACGAAATCGGGCAAGCACATGTCTATTTATTGTTTTGGGGCCCTCTCTGGCGCTATAAAGCCTGCAAAGTTGTGGGCAGATGTGTAGGAAATCGGGCAAGCACAGTTTTGGGGGCCCTCTTCACCGCCCCTGCCGTGTGCCTTACTGGGTGTCATAGCAGGCCTGTGGCCTCAAGGCGTGAGACCCTGAAGGGGACGATCGCAGGTATCATTTCGGTATTTTGGGCTTGCGGGATATTGGGGGTGGGGAGGGGTGCATGCACTGGAACCTTTTTTGTTTGCGTCTTTTTCCCACCCTGTTCACATGCGCCTGAATGTTTTTGTTTTTTGTTTCTTTTCCCAGCCTTTCTCAAAGCGCTGAAACTTGAGTCTGGAAGCGAAGACGTGAGTTAACTGGTCGAGACCTGATTGACAGTTCAACCTAGTTGGTCATGATGAAGTACAGTCTTCCCCTGAATAGAATAGAAAACACTGTCATTATCGCTGTATCTAGAGTCTAGACCGCATTTTTACACAAATCCAGGTGAGCTTACTGTCATCATCGCTGTATCTAGACCAAATTTTGACACAAATCCAGATATAATGACTGTGCGCTCTATTTGGAGGTGAAGATGGTAATTGGCCATAACGCCCACAACCTCATCAGCTAGTATAAGTAGAGTTAACTTCACTTAAGCCAATCGGCATTGGAAAATGGTTGCGATTGAGCAGGGCTGTTTCATGTTCTCTCTGCAGGTTGAGGCGTGTCTTTTACATAGTCATGCAAACTTAATTTGATGAGTTGGTGCTTTACTCTGTCTTCTGGTCGGTTGGTTTCTGAGCTAGATGGGCATGAGGAAGCTGATAGTTTGAACTTCGATGAAAAAAAACGAATTTCTCTGAAAAAAAAAAAAAAGAGAACGAATGGATCAGGGATGACAATGTGTCTTCTGTTTTTTTTTTTTCATGTTGGCTGTTTTTTTTTGCAGATGACGCGAAGACTGACGAGGAGGAGAGCCTGCTGATTGCGGAGTTTGGGATGCTGGATGCAGATTTGGCAAAGCTGCGGGTATCTGTTGATAGAAATGAAGCGATTCTGATCGACGATGATGAGTTAGCTCAACTTGCTATAGACATTCCCGGTAATCAATCAAACAAGCCATTGGGTCATCAACGGCTAAAATTAGCGCAACTTTCTCGTCTATCTAGCTAAGCCTAGTGAAGTTTTTGCTGTTAGCTCACAATTCTGTTTTGCGCTGTTGTTTTTGTTACGTATGAACTACAATAGTATGAAGTTGTGCCAAACTCTTTTCTTTTTCTTTCTTTTAAAGGCTGATTCTTTTAAGCCCTCGTCGTTCGAGACATCCATTAAAATTGGAATGATATAGAGAAGATTAACATGGCCCCAGCGCAAGGATGACACGCATAAATTGAGAAATGGTCCAATTTAAAAAAGAAAAGGAAAAAATATTTTAACCCCAACCAATTCAATTACCTGTCAAATCTGCACAGGACGGCCTTTCAGGCCTTTTTTATTGTCATTATAGTGTTACGGGGAAACCCATAGCAGCCAGCCCGAGTTCAAGCCTCCAATGAGGGAACATGCGGGGGCTGCACCCGACCTGCAGGTGGGTGATACTGGCCAGGGGTCAGCCAGTAGCATCAGGACCGAGCTTCTTCGATGGGCCAGTCGCTCTGCCTCCCCTCCCCCCCCCCTACGAACATCAGCACTCCCTGCCAATTCCACTAGGGGGAACCAACGGCCTAACTGTAGGTGGCAGGCGCGAAGCTTGCCCAGGAATGTACATGAGGTCAATGGGGACTTGAACCCAAGACATCCTGAATGCCACTTGCCTGCCTTACCAGCTGATCTAGGCCGCTGGATAGTTGTGTAAAACTCTGTAGTGTACTACTCTGCATGACTAGTCTTTTTCTTGTCTGCATTCATGTATACCTTGCGTTGTCGGTTACACATGCACAGACAAGAGAGAGAGAGAGAGAGAGAGAGAGAGAGAGAGAGAGAGAGAGAGAGAGAGAGAGAGAGAGAGAGAGAGAGTTTTGTTTGCTCATCTCATCACGAGTGTCTCAGAAAAGTATGGTGAAAACAAAAGAATGTGTATCCACTACTATCAAGGGGATTATGACCATCAGAGGCATTCGTTCTAGCCTGTAGGGATTGCGGCTGTTGCCACACTGGGGGATTTTATGACCACCAGACCAGAGGCGAAGTTGTATAAAGGGGAGCCATGGGCTCCATTTTCCGCGAGTGTATAGTGAAAGGGGGAGTCCAGAGTGCGGAGCACAGTGCGGTTGCAAGTATGGTTATAGTTATTGCAGCTATTGCCAGATTGGGGGATTTTATGACCATCAGATCCAAGGCAAAGTTGTATAAAGGGGAGCCATGGGTTCCATTTTCCAAGAGTGGTAAGTTGGAAGGGGGAGAACGGCTGACATCTTTATCCCCGTTTTTTTTGTTTGAAACTTGGTATTCTGAACTTGTCCATGAAGTGGTACAGTAATGAGAGACCAAATGTGACCACAAAATGACTTCTGGTGTTAAGTTGTCAATCATCATGCTGTTAAGATTGCAAAATGACAAGAAGAAACTGGGAAACGTGAATCGTCTTCCGAACTGTACAATCCTACTATAAAGTGATCACAGTACCCTATATTGATCTACATCACAGTACAGATTAATTAATACTAACTTATTACTGATGATCGTCAGCCGACATCTGACATCCATGGCACTTATGTGCAAATATTAGAACAGGAGGTTGTTGTGTGCGAGGATAAGTAGAAAGGTTCATGTTGTTCCGATGTTACATGCAAACACTAGCATAAAGGAGTCTTGGTTCTTTTCAGTCTGTCGTGTCAACCTGATATGTGTCTGTCAATTGATAGACTGAGGGCATATCAACCCTACTACTACGTTTCAACTGAGCTCTGGACGTGATTGTGGTCAGATGCATGCAAGTCTGGCTGTAACTGAGGTGAGATTCGCTTACGAAAGTGATTGTGCGAGTATGCCCACCAGAGTATGCCAGTATAACTGCGGAATCCGAATGATTGATGGACGGAGGTACACGTTGCATGAGCATTGCATGTGGATACAATCTTGTTTGTGTGCACGCACAGTAGTGATTGCTTGCTTGCTTGCGCGGCATGTTGTCGTATCGTTTTTTGAATGGCCAACAGATTTTAAGAACAGGTTAGGCATTCAGCAGCAGGCCGTTATTCCAGTCGGGCAGAGAGCACAAATGGCGATGCAGGAGGGGACGATGAAGCTCAAGGAGGGGATTAGCTTTTACTGGAGGGGCTTACGGTTGCTTGCAGGGGATCTTGTCTATGCTGGGAGAGTATTTGTTGCTGCCGTTGGAGGGACTACCTTGAAGCCTAGAGAGGTGAGTGACAAGCTCACAGCACCGCGACCGTCTTCACCCAAATAGAATGTCCGGTCATTGTAGCTGTATTTGGTACAACTTCTAGATGCAGCGATAATGACTATGGGTTCTATTCGGGTGAAGATGGTGGGTGTTTCCCAGCGTCATTGTCACACTTCCGTAGACTTTTGCCACTGGATGTGTGGGCATGTTAAATAACTGATTGCTGGTGAAGGTGGCTGGCGCCCGGTTAAATATGTGATTGCTGGCTTCAGATTGCTCTTGCTCTCCTCTTGCCCACACTGGATGTGTGGGCATGAGGACGAAAAGACTCTTGCCGAATGTGAGCCAACAAGGTGCAGAAAAAGAATAAGTGACATGGGACATGGCACACAAAAGAATAACACAGGACACGGCGCACGAGAGAGTACAGCAGACTCAACAAGCCTGCTTACTGCACCTTCTTCTTTTTTCCTGCTGAAATGATCAGTGGAAATGTTCCTCAAAGAAATATGTGGTGCACATAAGAAGACACACGGGCTGAAATCTTCACACTCCACCTTCTTCTCCATTCTCCCTGCTTGCCCCCATGAGGCGTCTACCTATATGTAATATAGTAGTGCACACAAGAAGGTGGGTCAGTCCGACTTTGTGTGTGTGTGTGTGTGTGTGTGTGTGTGTTTGTGTGTGTGTTAAACCCGACATCAAGAAATTGGGGGGACTGGTAGCACAGGTTCATTAGGGCTGCCGGTAGTACAGTGTGGAGAACCGAAACAAACACAAAAATTGTGAAATTTGTTGAAATGCTTCCACGATTTATTTCATGGTTTAAACAATTTTTTGGTTTTTAAAAATATTTTTCCTGGAAAGATCACGAGCAAATCTACGGACCCTCCAATTTTCAGAGTCTTTGATGCATTCTTCGGAGCGGGAAAAATCACAGAAGTTGTACTTTTCCCGTTGGCCTACAAACGGCACTGTGGCAAAACTGGAACATGCAATGAATTGGGACGGCGATTGTTTCACAGCCAAAATGATTTGATTTTCTTTTATGTTTCTGATATTTTTCCTGGAACGATCACGACCTGATCTACGAATGCTCAAAGTTTCAGAATTTTGTGTGAATTCTTCTGGCGGCGAAAAATTGCCAAAGTTGCCGCTGTCAAATTCCGGGACTAGGCCCGCGGTTTCGGCCTCCGGTCACCGCCCGAACTCAAAACCCGCCCGAACTCACAGGGAGGGCTATTTCCGGCTGGCGGAGGGAGTGGTGGTTTAAGATACACGTAGCATATCAGTGTTAGGAACCGGTATGACAGTCCATCCCACAGTCCAATACCATCATCAGGACTTACACAGATATAACTTGTGGAGTATGAAGATTAAGATACACGTAGCACGTTAGTGCTAAGAACTCCGTGTCAAGCCACGGTATGACAATCCAGCCCATAGTCCAATTCCATCATCAGGACTTACACAGATGCCACTTGTGGAGTATGAGGATTTGTCTTTCTTTTGGGATGCCACAATTCCTGGTAAACTCGCTCCAAAAGGAAGAAACACACCGAGTAATCACAAGGACATGAGGCAGTAAACCAGAGTTGCACAGCCCGACGGTCGGCAGGATGGAGAAAACCAGAGTTGCACAGCCCGATGGTCGGCGCCCCTTGATTGGTGGGCTGCCAACCAGCCAACCGGTTGGCTGGTCGGCACCTACCGGTTCGTGGTCATTGACACCCCACAAAAGAAAACAAAAAAATAAAATCTATTTTTTTTGGAGTCCATAACCCCCGATAACCCCNAGGAGGAGGTTGAGGAGGAGAATAGTAATAATAAGAAGAAGAAGAAGAAGCTGGAACCAATGTCATCTCCCTCCTTTCTCCCACCATTCGAAGATCTTAATAGTAATAATTAGCAACAGAAATGAATGAATATGAATGAATCAGAATCAGTGGCTGATTGCTATGGCTCACTTCCTCTGTTGCTCCAACCCTAACCCTCCACACCTGCTCTTTGAAGTTCAAACTTCAAACCATTTAATGGCCAGCTTGCAAGGTTGCACACGTTTATTGTCCTTAGCAGAACCCCCTATCTCCTGAGGTACAACAACACTCCGGTGCTACCTTCTTCCCCTGTGTTATGACCCTGGCCAATTCCGAGATACACATCCAACGGAAAATACAATGCCTGTCTCTTATACACATCTAGATGTGTATAAGAGACAGCGAGTGCACCCTGCAAACCACGCAGTTCCGTCCCACACCGCTTTTCTCCGAGACGTGATCGTCAAGCTTCGTTCTTCACACGGTCACCAAACTCGCACAGCCTCTGTCCCCGTTTGCACAAGTCGTTGCGCAGCCGAAACTGCACTGTACACGTCCTCACAGCTTCACCTCGCTCCCCATCCACATGGCAAGGACCTCCACCCCCGCGCAGTTCCGTCGCCAACCCACCACCGTCCTCGCACAACCCGTCTGTCCCCTCGCACCCCCCATCTGTCTCTGCTCCTAGGAGTCGGTGGCCAGCCGAATGCCGAATCCGCAGCTCCAGCCCCCGCTCCGAATCCTCTATACCCTTCTACGTTGGGGCCAATCGTCTAGACCCCACACGGTCCAGCACTGCGAATACATCTTCCAAGGTTCTAGCGGGAGATTCACTCTCATTTTGCAGATTCATGCGGCCCAACACATGTGTCGTCAAAAAAGAATAGAAAACGGCAGCGCATCTTCCCAATTCCTGGGGAAAGATTCATCCCCAGGCCCACCACTGTCCCCTGGAAGGCAGTGCGCATCAAAAAAAAATGTGCCACGCGAGTGGCGGTTTCTTCTGGGCCCGCTCCCCCGTGTCCCAACCATTTTCCCAACACTGCGAATCGGGCCTCGCGGGAGTGTCGCGACCCGCTCCGCTCTTTAGTAAGAGTATAGAAGAGAGGGGCTGGCCACCCCACATAACGACCGGATCTGGGAGCATTACCCAGTGTTATGCTTTTGACGGGACCCTGCAGGACCCCAGTATCAAGTACCTCTAAATGAATAATTCTTTCAAAGCCGAGCTTAACCCCTCAACCCTGCCTACTGCTAAGCATCCTACTGACTAGCCTGCGCTCACCTACTGTTCAGTTAAAAACTATCCTGCTACCCTTCCTTTTGGCGTTGCTTTTAGGGAACAGGCTTCTCCTTTCAGCCTTCTGCCGTGGTGCTGACGATAACAAACTAGTGGTTGGTCAGGAGCCTGCTGCGAGATTGAGTGGGGTCTGAGCGTCCCACCTCCTCTGCGGCCCCGTTCCTATTCCACCGGTTAGTCAGAAATACAACAAGAACACCCTCACGCTTCCTTCCAGTTGGCCGAAGGACCCATGATCAGCATTGATTGCTCCAGATGCCTGGAGAACTGGCTGTCAGCTTGCCTTCTCTCTACCTATCCTCTCAGGTTTGTTTACCCAAACCTGCCAAATTTAATGTGAAAACAAGAAAGGATTTTACGAGATGTGGAAGCCAAAAGCCCCTGAGCTTGTTGGGGATGTCTTGCTGGAACTCTGATCTTGTAGGTCGTTGACCGCTGCTTTGCTGGTCTCCTCCTCTCTGCCATGCCATCAATTTTATGTGGCTTGTATTGGGTCCTGCTGTTCTACTGATTGGCCACCTCTGCGCTCTAAGCCCCAGTTCTGAGTTGTGTCATTCTTTCCACTGTATACAGGATCCATTTATGTCCGCTACCCTGCCTCCTGCTGTAGGTCCAGATCGTCCGGCATAGAATGATTTGTTTTCTGCCACTTGCATAGGATCTCAGCCTGAATCAACAACAACCTTGTAGCCGCCCAGATGCTCTCTCGTCGAGTAGACAGGCCTTCAAGAGTTCTTCAGCACCTTTCCTTCCATATAGACCACAGTGTCACCTTTCTGATCATGCCGAACCAGATCCTCTCCGTCTTGCGAAAGTGGGCAGGGACGTTAGTCCATAGGAGGATTTGGATGATGTGGTCAAGGAAGGGGGGTAGCGAAAAGGAATTCCCAAAGACCGGATAACCGAGTATTCCGTCACCTCTCTACGCCGTATTAAGCAGTGTAACATATCTTCCGATTCATTGTCCGAGCATCCCACACATAAGCCCGAGCTACTTGGATTGGTCTTCCTTCCCTTCTTTTAATATGCAACCATTGGTTGGCTGGTAGAGCCACATAGGAGATGAGCCATCGGAGGCTCCTGATTTTGACAGGCTGAATTGTTTTGAACTTTTTCCATGGTATTTGGGATATCTGATTGGCATCCTGACCAATTAACCATCTGTTCAGTGTTGCATACCCCGTCGGTCAGCACCCCTCGGCTGGTCGACACCTACCGGTCGGGGGTCGTCGGCACCCCGTTAAAAAAAAAAAAAAAAAAAAAAAGGAGATCCCCCAAAACACCCTCATACCCTCCCCCAGTGCCCCTTATTCCACCACTCTTATAACCCACCATACCCCTCCTATACCCCCCTGTATCCGGCCCAATCCCCGAAAGTTTCTCAGCGGATTTGGGTTGTACAGCCCCTTACTCGGATTTGGAAAAAAACAGTGGATGGCTGTTCACTGACTGTTTTGCAGAGCGCCAACCGGTCAGCTCTACCGGTTGGCTGTAAAACAGTTGGCGGGTATGCAACCCTGGAGAAAACAATAAACAGCGACTAAGCAACAACCAGCCAAGAGCAGGGAGGCGACACATAGGCTGGAGGGCACAGGGGAGGGGGGAGGGCAGACGGCACAGAAGCTAATGAAGGAAAGACCAGGCGACAAACAGCAGCAAAGGACGAAGCCTGGAGGGCACGGCACACAAAAACATGAGGCGACAAGGCATAGGAGCACAAACAGCAGCAAAGGATAAATGCTGGAGGGCACGGGAGGGGCAGGAGGGCAGACAGCACATGAGGTACTAAGGGAAAGACATGAGGTGACAAGGCATAGGATGTCGAACAGCAGCAAATGACCAAGGCTGGAGGGCACAGTGGAGGCAGGAGGGCAGACAACACACAAGTATATCAACCAGAC